GTTGGCCAGGCTGGTCTTGAACTCCTGACCTTGTGAACCACCCACCTCAGCCTCCCAGAGTGCTGGGATTACAGGTGTGAGCCACCGTGCTGGGCCCTGAATCTTTTTTTGAATGTTAATTTATTTTTTAAATTGTGGCCTGACTCTTTGTTTACATTCATAAGCTTCCTGGAAGCTCTGTAAGAGCAGGGACCATGTCTGCTTATATGTTGTATCTGTTTAGCACCATGCCTGACATGTTGTGGGTGTGCAGTAAATATTTGTTTTAGAAATAAAACCCTGGTTGACCTCTTCTAATTGTTACATATGACCTCGCTTGCCTGACCAGATTTGTTTTGCCGACATCAGTCCTTGGCAAGCTTCAGTGGAGAGAGAGTAAGAAGCAAATAAATGTCTTTAAGATAATGACAGCCTACCCCTTTACATTTCTTGTTAGCGCCTCATCTAACCCAGCACCAATCCTGGTAGCTCTGTTTCCATTGACAAGCACCTTGCGGGCTGTGTGAAACAAAAGTTTTGAGACGCAGAGAGTCCAAGGTTCAAGATAGAGTGTACCATGATACTTTGCTGGGGAGTAGGATCAGACCAGAAAGAAAGGAGAGTTAGCCACAAGAGTGAGAAAACTCAATGACACTCCCTCTGAGGTTTGCAGAGCTAAAGGCCACCAGTTTACCTTTAAGCCAAATTTTCATTTTCTCTGTAACTATGGGTCTTACAGCTTCAAAACCTCAGAGGAGCCAACACGTTAGAGCCCTTACTTTGAGACTCCCAACTAGCTGAATTCCAAGAAAGGCATTTAGTAACTGAAGGGTACACTCCTGAGGGGCTGGATCTAAAGAAATGCCACCTTTGATCTAGCCTATAACTTAGCACTAATTGGAGATTCAGCTCTTAACAGAGCTTGCTTGACTTTGAGCAAGCCTAACTCATATAATGCAAAGTAGACCATATCTAATCAGTTCTTGGCAGGTGCATATGTACTCATTTTCTGAGCCAAGTCTTCTGCCCTGACCGGGGAGTGTACCTGGCAACAGACTTCTCAAGGACTGTCACTTGGGACAGGGAGTGCTCAGGGCATGGGTACTTGCAGTTTAGAGATTCCAACCCTGCATCAGAAAAAGTCTGGGGGAGGCCGGGCACGGTGGCTCACGCCTGTAATCCCAGCACTTTGGGAGGCCGAGGCAGACGGATCACGAGGTCAAGAGATTGAGACCATCCTGGCCAACATGGTGAAACCCCGTCTCTGCTAAAAATACAAAGATTAGCCGCGTGTGGTGGTGCGCGCCTGTGGTCCCAGCTACTTGGGAGGCTGAGGCAGGAGAATGGCTTGAACCCGGGAGGCGGAGGTTGCAGTGAGCCAAGATCACGCCACTGCACTCCAGCCTGGCAACAGAGGGAGACTCTGCCTCAAAAAAAAAAAGGGAAAAAGAAAAAGTCTGGGGGAGATTTCACTTCTTGGGAGGTATATTCAGTCCCATTATACCATAATGGGTCAGGACTCCTCATGGAGAGAGGATACCTTTGTGTTCATGTCTTAGAAAGCAACCCATCCAGAGTGTGAACAGGAGGAAAGTTGATAAAGCTAGAGATTTTTTTTATTATGTCCCAGACCCTGAAAGTTGATTGTGTTTCTTCAAAGAACTGAATTGTTCTTCCTTGGGGAGACAAAATATTGAAGAAGGTTCTTCATCTCCTCTTTGTGCCCTTACACTGTCCTGGGGTGATCTCTACGCATCTTAGCCTTTCCCTTCTTAAATCCTGATTTTGAATAGGTTGGCCTGAATACTCAATGTGAGCCCTAACAAATTATGATAACCACCTGGCAGGCACACAGTGTCGAAGATGGCCATTTGTGATGACATCTGGTCTGGCCAGCTTCCTTTTTACTGTTAGAGGGAAAGGTGGTGAGCATGCTGAGGCAGGGTGGGGTCATCTCGCACCAGGAGGAGCCCCCTTTGATGCCAGAAAGGAAGATGAATCAGCCAAGATGTTGAGTGCGTCACCTTCAACCTTGTCTGCCTGGGGACCTTTTACCAAGGCTCCTCCCATGGGTTTCCAGCACACAGATCTATACCAGTTCCTTACCATGGTCAGGTGTGTGGCTGGCTGCTTCTTACGAATGAGCTTGGCATGGATTAGGTATGCTAGAGCTGATGGATTTTTTTAAAAGTCTGATTTACATAGAGTGAAATACATAGATTTTTAAGTTGTACAATCTTAGTTGTACAATTTGAGCTTTGACAAATGTATACACCTTGAATAACCCACACCCCAATCAAGATACAGTTTATTTCACCCCAGAAAGTTCACTTGTGCCCCTTCTCAGTAAGTCCACTTCCAACTCCCACCTCCCCTGCCTGGTAGTGATTGTTCTGGTTTCTTTCACTATGTTTGAAGCCATGGGTTTTAAAACATACAGATTTTCTTCAAGTCTGGATGGTGAGAGATGTCAGAAAGTAATACTTACTCAAGTAAATCAGAGGTTCTCAGTGGGAGAGTTGCTCCCCAGGAGACATTTAGCAGTGTCTGGAGATGTTTTTGACTGTTGTGACTGGGAGGAGGTGCTACTGGCATCTAGTGGGTAGAGACTAGGGATGCTGCCAAACTTCCTGCAGTGCACAGGACAGCCCCACGACGAAGAAGGACCCAGCCCAAATGTCAGTAGTGCTGAGTTTGAGAAATCCTCCAGTAAATCATGTGTTCTCTGCAACCTAGGAATTATGGCCCTGGGGAGTGTTCATTTGTAGGTCTCCCAGGTCTCCTGGGGTGAGGTTTGCTTTTTCTTTGTTTTGTTTGCTTGTCTGTTGAGAGCCTGCTGGAAGCTGAGAAGGCCACTGCAGGAGCCAGCTTTCTTTGGTGCTACCATCCTTGTGGCCACAGTTCTTGCTGCGGGATGGGTATCAGGGTGGGCTTAGGGAGGAAAACTAATAGGAGAAGAGGAAGAAGAAAACAGTTTAGGCAGTAAAGGGAGGCAGGCCTAGAATAATATTAAAACTAGAAAAACGAGTAAGATAAGAGGGAAAGGTAAAGTAGAAATTAATAATTAAGAATCTAATAAAATGTTAAAGTAAATGAGCTGAGATTTAAAAATCAAAGATAGGCTGAGCATGTTGGCTCACACCTGTAATCCCAGCACTTTGGGAGGCCAAGGCGGGAGGATTGCTTGAGCTCAGGAGTTCGAGACCAGCTTGAGTAACATGATGAGACCCTGTCTGTACTATATATATAGTAATATATAGAGAGAGTGTAATATATATATAGTTACATGTATAGTTATATACATATATATATAGAGAGAAATATATATAATATATATGTATATATTTGCCCATGCTGGAGTGCAGTGGTGCAATCTCAGCTCACTGCAACCCCCGCCTCCCAGTTTCAAGCAATTCTCCTGCCTCAGCCTCCCGAGTAGCTGGGATTACAGGCGTCTGCCACCATGCCTGGCTAATTTTTGTATTTTTAGTAGAGACTGGGTTTCATCATGTTGGCCAGGCTGGTCTCGAACTCCGACCTCAGGTAATCCGCGCACCTTGGCCTCCTAAAGTGCTAGGATTACAGGCGTGAGCCACCACATCCAGCCTTACTGTGCTTTGTGAGAAATAAATGCACCCCTGAAGTGCTGAGGAAGTCCAGACCCAAAAAACATGTTCTCATGGACTTAAAATTTCAGGTCAATTTTTTCTTAATTTCCAAAATACAACAGTTTCTAAGTTTGTCTACTTTAGCTTTTCAAGTAAAATAAAAGATACATAGATAGATGACTAGACCTCTAGCTGTCTCTCTGTCTCTGGAACATGTCCAAAACCAACTCATCATTTTTCCCTCAGACTTGCCCCTCTTTTTCTACTTCCTCTCTCAGGAATGCTGTGTCACCACCCAACTAGAAAAACTCATCAGAAACTCCAAGGTCACTTAAAATCTACTCTTTTCTGATTTTCAAGAATACAATACGTTGTTATTAACTGTAGTCACCACGTTGTACAACAGATCTCTTGAACTACTCGTCCTGTCTAACTGAAACTTTGTACTTTTGACCCGTATCTCCCCAACTGCCCCCAGCCCCTGCCCCTGGTAGCTACCACTGTGCTGTCTACTTCCATTAGTTCAACATTTTTAGATTCCACAAAAATTGTGAGGTAACGCATATGTTAATTAGCTCAATTTAGCCATTCCACAGTATATACATATTTCAAAACAGCATGTTGTACACAATAAATATATACAGTTCTTGTCAGTTTAAAAATTAAAATAAATGAAAAATGAAAAAGAAACCAAGGTCATTGTCACTCCTCCTTTCCCCTTGGTCATTAAGTCCTGCTAATTCTGCCTATTAAACTATCTCAATTCTACTTTCCCCTCTTTCTCATCTCCTGTGCAGTCTTTCCTTGGGCCCTCATTTCTTTCCTGCATTGTTTTAGCAGCACCATAACTGGTCATCTGGCCCTTTAATGACTTAAACCACCACACTGAGAAATGTGTCTTTCTAAACGGCAAACTCGATTCTATATTGTATCCTTATTTGAGATCTTTTGGTATTTATTACCGAGGACTTTCATGTGAGCCACACGAGTCGCATTGTGATCTGGCTACAACCAGCTTCTCTGAGTCTCTGTCACTCTGTCCCCTCCCACAAAACTCCAACTCCCTATGTTTCTCCCATGCTGTTTCCTAGCTTCATGGCTTCACACATGCTGATTCCTCTGTCTGTAATGTCCTATGCTTGTTTTGTCTTTCTGTAGAACTGCCTAAGAGCAGGGAGAATTCATGCTTTTGAAACGAGGAAATTTCCCTTGTCCCTCTTACAGGGTATGTGATGGGGGTGTGGCTCACTTCTTAGGTGCCCCACTGCCGAAAACCCCTAGAGGAAGCAGGCAGACGGGCAGGTTGTGGGGAGTGTGGGCTCCAACCCCATGGTAGCATCTAGGGGTGGATGTTTACAGCTTCTGAAGCCCCAGTGGGCATGTGTTACCATGTGCTCTTTTAGTTTTGCTGTCAGTAGGCAGCTTGTGTTCATCAGCTCAATTAGACCCTCTGCCTTATCGCAAGAACAGAGGGCTTTCTGTATCCTGGGGTTCTTGCCTGAGTATACCAGAAAAATAGGATCACACGTGGGCTTGGAGAATGAGTGCAAGGTTTTATTGAATGGTGGGAGTAGCACTCAGCAGATGGAAACAGAGCCAGAAGGGATATGGAGTGGGAAGGTGGTTTTCCCCTGGAGTCAGACCGCTTAGCAGCCGGGCTCTCCTCCGACTGCCCTCAGCCAAACTCTGCGTTGTCCTGCCATTCTGCTGTTGGTGGCCTGCCGGCGTCTGTCAGTGTGTTCTTCTGCTGGTGTGTTCTTCCTCGCCTCTGCTTCTCTTGACGTCCAGCTGCTTGTGTGCTCTTCTGCCGGTGTGTTCCTCTCGACGTCCAGCCACTTGTGTGCCTGCGCGCTAGGGTCTCGGGGTTTTTATAGGCACAAGATTGGGGGTGTGGTGGGCCAGGGTAGTCTTGGGAAATGCAGCATTTGGGCACAAAAACAGAAATGCCTGTCCTCACCTAGGTCTGTGGGCACAGGCCCGGGGTGGAGCCCTAGCCAGGGACCCTGCCCTTCTCTACCCAGCATTTCCCTGCCTGCCCCTCCCCTATCACTTTTATTTTATTTATTTATTTTTTTGAGACAGAGTCTCGCTCTGTCGCCCAGGCTGGAGTGCAGTGGCAGTATCTTGGCTCACTGCAATCCCCACCTCCCGGGTTCAAGTGATTCTTGTGCCTCAGCCTCCCTTATTTTATTTTTTAATTCGTCCCAGGCCAAGTGCAGTGGCTCATGCCTATAATCTCAGCACTTTGGGAGGCCAAGGTGGGTGGATCGTTTGAATCCAGGAGTTTGAGACCAGCCTGGGCAACATGGCAAAACCCTGTCTCTACAAAAAACTACAAACATTAGCTGGGCATGGTGGTGCACTCCTGTAGTCCCAGCTACTCGGGAGACTGAGATCGGAGGAGTGCTTGAACCTGGGATGGGGAGGTTGCAGTGAGCAGACATCCTGCCGCTGCACTCTAGCCTAGGCAACAGTGTAAGACCCTGTGTAAAAAAAAAAAAAAAAAAGTTTGTCCATTTTTTTACATCTATCGAGTTCTTCCTACCAGAATGGAAGCCCTTTCAGGGTGAGGATATGTCTTACTCCATATTTCTATTTCTATGGCTGTACCTAACACACAAGGCATGCTCAATAATTGTTTATTTCCTGCTCAAATGAGACAAAGGAAATGGATGGAGGAGAGATGAAAAATAAATGAGTGATTGATTTCTGTCTAACTATTTAGGCATGATTTAGTATCTTGGAAATCATATTACTGAGATTTGCAGTGCCTATAATGTGAAAGACAAGGCTGTTCTGTAATGCAAAGCGTAATACCAGCTAAAATATAACAAAGATGTCTGTTGAAATGTATGCCTGCAAATTCCCATATTTCAGAAGCAAATAAAGAGCTGAAAGCCATTAAGAAAAAAAGAGTGGTTATTACTTTAACTGGTTTAAAAATAATTGATACATCTTGAAGTATTAAGTATGCAGCTTGAGGTCTTAATTTCAAGGCAGTTTTGCTATAGATTTCTTTTGCTTCTGCAATACGTGTTAGCCAGCTACATTTGTTCGTGTGGTTTGTGCCCATCACAGTTATTAGGCAGAACCAGCAGCACCAGGATACAACCTAAGGAGAGCAATATCCCTCCTAGAAAACTGCCACGACCTTCACAGGAGGGGTCCGATTTTTTTTTTTTTTTTTTTTTTTTTGAGATGGAGTCTGGCACTGTCACCCAGGCTGGAGTGCAGTGGCACAATCTCGGTTCACTGCAACCTCCACCTCCCAGGTTCAAGTGATTCTCCTGCCTCCGCCTTCTGAGTAGCTGGGATTATGGGCACCTGCCACCACGCCTGGCTAATTTTGTATTTTTAGTAGAGACGGGATTTCACTATGTTGGTCAGGCTGGTCTCGAACGCTTGACCTGGTGATCCACCTGCCTCTGCCTTCCAAAGTGCTGGGATTACAGGCGTGAGCAGATTTTTTATATTTATAGTTTAAATTAATAAACCCATAACTCTTCCCTCCTCTCAGCCCATCATTTTTTTTTTTTTTTTTTGGAGCAGTTATTTTGTGTGTGTGAAACAGAGTCTCACTCTGTTGCCCAGGCTGTAGTGTAGTGGCATAATCATGGCTTACTGCAGCCTCAAACTCAAGAGTTCTCCCACCTCAGTCTCCTGAGTAGCTGGGACTACAGGCACATACCACCATGCCTGGCTGATTTTTAAAAAATATATTTTGTAGGCCAGATGCAGTGGCTCACGCCTATAATCCCAGCACTTTGGGAGGCCGAGGCGGACGGATTACCCGAGGTCGGGAGTTTAAGACCAGCCTGGCCAACATGGCGAAACCCCATCTCTACTAAAAATACAAAAATTAGCCGGGTGTGGTGGCAGACGCCTGTAATCCCAGCTACTTGGGAGGCTAAGGTAGGAGAATCGCTTGAACCTGGGAGGTGGAGGTTGCAGTGAGCTGAGATCACACCACTACAGCCCAGCCTGGGCAACAGAGCAAGACTCCATCTCGAAAACATAAAAATAAATTAAAATAAAGCACAGTAAGCTTTTCAGGGTGTGGAGTGGCTGAGGTTATAAATATGCTCACGTTCTTCACATTCGGTTTGTAAGATAGAAGGTTTAAGATTGCTTCTGCATTTCAGGTAATTCAGAGGTCCGTGGGGCCAGCCAGCCTGAGCTTGCTCACCTTCAAAGTCTATGCAGCACCAAAAAAGGACTCACCTCCCAAAAATTCCGTGAAGGTTGATGAGGTAACATGTTGTTCATGTTGTGATATATTTTAAGTGTCTGATTTAGTTACTGTAGGATAATTTTTTTCAAATTGTATATCAGGAAGATGTGACTGTTTAAAAGACATTTATTTATTTATTTATTTAGAGACAGAGTTTCGCTCTTGTTGCCCAGGCTGGAGTGTAATGGTGCGATCTCAGCTCACTGCAACCTCCTTCTCCTGGGTTCAAGCCATTTTCCTGCCTCAGCCTCCCAAGTAGCTGGGATTACAGGCATGTGCCACCACGCCTGGCTAATTTTGTATTTTTAGTAGAGACGAGGTTTCACCATGTTGGCCAGGCTAGTCTCAAACTTCCGACCTCAGGTGATCCACCCGCCTCAGCCTCCCAAAGTTCTGGGATTACAAGCGTGAGCCACCGTGCCCAGCCAGAAGACATTTAAACGGAGAAAATATATTTCCTTATAGTTTGTTTAATTTGTGGGAAATTATTAAACTATGGCTTTTTCAACAGGTAAACTTTAATGATACTTAGCTAAGGGCACAATTAAGGAATACTTTATAAATGTTTACTGGGGAATCCACTGTGTCCAGATAGGTTATAAGCACAACTCACTTTTCTAAGTGGTCTCTCTGATTCTTGGCTTATCTTGATTCTTATCAAGCCAAGAAGATACTCACATTTTTTCTTCTCTAAGAAATTAGAGATCTGGATCCTTTCTGTTTCTTGGCTGGAGGAGACGCTCATAAGTGTATACTTAATAAATACTAAATTTAAAAAAACAAGAAATCTCCTCTCTACTGTTTACATTCCTTTTTGGTCTGTACTTCCCACTAACTATTTTGGATATTCAGTTTCTGTTGCCTTTGAATAAAGTGAGTTAAGGATCTACCTTCAGTCCTGGGTAGGGTTACTTGATTGGTGTTTACATAAAGCTAATTAGCTTATCTTTTGCCCTTTACTCTCTTCTCAGGCCTTGGCACAGTGGCATTTTTTGAGGGTGAAGAAGGCAGCCAGCCGTGGCTGTGAGAAGTTCTCTGGGTGGGGAACAAACCTGCTCTCCTGCTTTGATTAACATCAGACCAATCATTTGAACTGAATGACATGCCCTTTGGTTACTCTCAAGCTTTTTTAACCCCTTTACCCACCCTTTAGAGTAATAAAATCCTTTTTCCAAACTCAATCTAAGGTGGAATACCAAATACCAGTATATAAAATGGATAAAGAGGAGCTGCTTTGTTTGCAGTCAGTGGGTGGGGAGAAGGTAGGACACCTCATAGCCCTGCCCTTTTGGCCTTGGCCTTGTTGATTAAGGAAATAAGGTGCAGAGATGGTTCGAGGTAAAGTTCAGGTTGCTCGTAACCCTTAAGAGTCACTGGAATTCATGAAGTGTTATTATTACTATTTTTGAGATGGAGTCTCGCTCTCGCCCAGGCTGGAGTGCAGTGGCAAGATCTTGGCTTACTGCTCCCTCCACTTCCCAGGTTCAAGTGATTATCCTGCCTCAGCCTCTCGAGTAGCTGGGATTACAGGCGCCTACCGCAACACCTGGCTAAGTTTTGTATTTTTAGTAGAGATGGGGTTTCGGCATGTTGGCCAGGCTGGTCTCGAACTCCTGACCTTAAGTGATCCGCCTGCCTTGGCTTCTCAAAGTGCTGGGATTACAAGCGTGAACCACCACACCCGACCACAGAGTCACTGTAATTCATGAATTATTAGAAATATTATATTAAATACTTACAAATTTGGTAAATTTATCCTGTAGACAATACGTCTTTTAAATATTTGTTTTGTTTTAATGTGTGCAGCTTTCACTCTATTCAGTTCCCGAGGGTCAATCGAAGTATGTGGAGGAGGCAAGGAGCCAGCTTGAAGAAAGCATCTCACACCTCCGACACTATTGCGAGCCATACACAACCTGGTGTCAGGTACAACTGTTCTGAAAATGGAGTGAACGCATTTCTGTTTAGAGTCAATAGAGAAAAGTCTGTATTGGCTGGATGTTTTTGGAAAAAGGCATGATAAAGGGCCCTGAGATGGCTGACAGAGGCTGGGAAGGGTAGTGGGGGTCTGGGGGAAAGGCGGGGATGGCTACTGGGTGCAAAAAAAAAATAGCAAGAATGAATAAAACCTACTATTTGATAGCACAACAGGGTGACTACAGTCAATAATTTAATTGTACATTTAAAAATAACTTAAAGAGTGTAATTGGATTGTTTGTAACACTAAGGATAAATGCTTGAGGGGATGAATTCCCCATTCTCCATATTGTGCTTATTTCACATTGCATGCCTGTGTCAACACGTCTCATGTACCCCATAAATGTGTGTACCTACTGCATACCCACAAAAAAATTTTAAATAACAGGCTCCAAGTTAAAAGTGCCTGACTTACAGATGTTCTTCAGTGCCATCTGAGGAGGGGGTGTAGAGATGCTCTAGCTTCCTGGTGACAGCTGTTGCCACAGCTGCAGAGAGAATTTCCCTCTCCCTGGGCAGTGCGTAACACCTTGACTAGAGAGCAGAGGGGCTAGGAACTACCTTGTTGCTTGCAGTTATGAAAACATTGTTGTCTACCAGGGGAGGCTTGTGGCCTGGAACTCTAAACAAAGGAAAAAGATGCAGTGTAAACACTTACATAAAAATTGCGAAGTTTTTCTCCCCCAGTATACAAATCAGTGCCACTTAAACCAGGAGTGGATATGGCATTTTGAATGCCATAATAGGAGGGTAGATACTAAAATAGGGTAGAATTCCATACTAGATTACTGAACTGTTTGTCCTAGTACCAAAGAACTACATATACAGATGGGTGTCTGTCCCTGCCTGGGTTTTAGGTCAGGCATTTGTCATTACGTAAATGAAAAGTATTTATGTGATTTTTAACATAAGTAACCAACGTTTACAATCTGTAGAATGCTTTTGTAGGCTTTGATACATATATTTGCTATACTTGATCCTGATTTTGAAAATTGAGGACAAATTTAATAAAAACTAATAGATGTAGATGTGTGGGAAGTTGTCTAGATTTACCTTGCTTGAGATTTATAAATTTAGTCTTTTTGGTTTTTTGGTTTTTGTTTTTTTATTTTGTTTGTTTTTTGAGACGGATTCTCGCTCTGTTGCCCAGGCTGGAGTGCAGTAGTGTGCTCTCGGCTCACTGCAACCTCCACCTCCCGGGTTCAAGCAATTCTCCCACCTCAGCCTCCCGAGTAGCTGGGATTATAGGCACGAGCCACCATGCCTGGCTAATTTTTGTATTTTTAGTAGAGATGGGGTTTCGCCATGTTGGCCAGGCTGATCTCGAACTCCTGACCTCAAGTGATCTGCCCACCTTGGCCTCCTCAAGTGCTGGGATTACAGGTGTGAGCCACCATGCCTGGCCTAAATTCAATTTTCATCCAGAGCTTGTTTAAAAATTTTTAATTTCCTTTGCCTATGCTGCTGTTGAACTTTTGTTCACCAATTTAGAAAGAAAATAGTAAGCATGGACTCTATCAACAATATAAATTAGGCCATTATACTTAAGTATCATAACCATATTATTGAGTTAAGTAATACCTAAAGACTTTATACATAATGTGTTGTAAAATGACTAGACTTTATTCTCTTGTTCTAAAAGATTTTTAAACTTCTGGTAGTTAAGATATAGTCAGCAAATTTGTGTGGATATTTTTGTATCATGTAGGCATGACTACTGTTATTTGTAGTCTGTCTCTCTTTTTTTTTTTTTGACAATAAAAGTACTTTGTACCTTTTAGCCTAAGGTTGCTTTTTGTTTTTTACCTTTTCTTCCATGCGTGATACTCAGTGCAGCAAAATAGCTCTCTGGATGATAGATTAGTTATCTACATGTTTATTTCCACTACTACTAAATATAAAAACTTTCTTGTAATTATAATAGCTTTTGTAATTATAATGGTTTTATTTTCCTGGGTAGAACAAAGTCTTCGTGAATAGAAATATTTCTAATTCCTGGTTCCTTTTTCAGACCAGGAATTTCTGGCCCTTTTCTTGAAGAACCAATTTAAGTTTGTTTTTGTTTTTTGTTTTTTTTTTTGGGACAGAGTCTCGCTCTGTCGCCAGACTGGAGTGCAGTGGCGCAGTCTCAGCTCACTGCAACTTCCACCTCCCGGGTTCAAGTGATTCTCCTGCCTCAGCCTGCCAAGTAGCTGGGACTACAGGCATGTGCCACTACACCCAGCTAATTTTTATATTTTTAGTAGAGACGGGATTTCACCATGTTGGCCAGGATGGTCTTGATCTCTTGACCTTGTGATCCACCCACCTCGGCCTCCCAAACTGCTGAGATTACAGGCATGACCCACTGTGCCCAGCCTTAATTTTTTTTAATAGTAAAAATATTAAGCTATCAAAAGAAGTGGGCAATCATTCTAGATATTGATCTGAAGGTTTCGTTTCTTTTCTTTTCCTTTCCTTTCCTTTCCTTTCTTTTCTTTTCCTTTCCTTTCCTTTCTTTTCTTTTTTCTTTTTTTTTTTTTTTAGTAGAGACAAGGTTTCACCGTGTTGCCCAGGCTGATCTCGAACTCCTGGCCTCAAGAGATCTGCCCACCTCAGCCTCCCAAGTAGCTCGGACTACAGACACATACCACCATGCCCAGCTAATATTTTTATTTTTTTGTAGAGATGGGGTCTCTGCTGTTGCCCAGGCTGGTCTCAAATTCCTGACCTCACGAGATACTCCTGCCTTAGCCTCCCAAAGTACTGGGATTACAGGTGTGAAATAATGGATTCTAATGAAGTGATACTCAGTTCTTTAGATCTTCTGCCTAATTCGGCATTTATTGTTTCAGGTCATTTAAAAGAATGAGGATAGCTTGTCCTGACTTGAACTGAAGTACACAAAATAAATCCTTTTCCAGGCGGGGCGCAGTGGTTCACGCCTATAATCCCAGCACTTTGGGAGGCTGAGGCAGGCGGATCACCTGAGGTCAGGAGTTGGAAACCAGCCTGGCCAACATAGTGCAACCCTGTCTCTACCAAAAATACGAAAATTAGCTGGGTATGGTGGTGGGCGCCTGTAATCGCAGCTACTCAGGAGGCTGAGGCAGGACAATCACTTGAACCCAGGAGGCGGAGGTTGCAGTGAGCAGAGATCGCGCCACTGCACTCCAGCCTGGGCGACAAGAGCGAAACTCTATCTTAAAAAAAAAAAAAAAATTAATAAAAATAAAAATAAAAAAATCCTTTTCCAAATGGCAACTAGTTTTGATACCTTCTGATACCCATGTATTTCTTCTTGTCTTCACTGTAGACTTCTTGAAGGTGGGTACCTTCTGGCGGTCCCCTTGTTTTCTTTAGGATCATGTGATGTTCATGTACAAAGCCTTTTTTTTTTTTTTTTTTTCAGAGTGAGATGGGGTCTCACTCTGTCACCCAGGCTGGAGTGCAGTGGCACCATCTCGGCTCACTGCAACCTCCGCTTCCTGGATTCAAGTGACTCTCCTGTTTCAGCCTCCTGAGTAGCTAGGACTAGAGGCGCGTGCCACCACACCCGGCTAATTTTTGTATTTTTAGTAGAGACAGGGTTTCACCATGTTTGTCAGGCTGGTCTCCAACTCCTGACCTCAGGTGATCTGCCCAACTTGGCTTCCCAAAGTGCTGGGATTACAGGAGGGAGCCATCATTCCTGGCCACAAAGCCTTTTTATTGTTTTTAAGAGAATGTTGACACCTCATTTGCTTTGGGCTATAGGCTTCTTTGTCTCATTAAAGCTGGTCATTCTTGCTTCAAATGGGCAGTTTCCAGATGTAGGCTCTAATTAATGGCAGATCAGGAAGTAGTTAATATGAAAGACAGATTTAATCTCATGGAGAAAAGCTTGCCAGTTAAGTATCAAGGAGATTGGTTTTTAGTCTGTTTTTTCCATTTTAATGGAAGAGTGAAACGACTGGATTGTTGAAACCACTCTGCTTGGAATCTGCTTCCTGTGGCAGTAATAAGCCATTCTGCTGAGTTATTTGCAGTGAAGGGAAGATTATAATAGGAAAAACAAACAAAAAGACCCAGATAGACAGTGTATCCCTTTGTTCAAAAAGTGTTAATAACATGATAATTTATTCAGTAAAGACAAGTATATTTATTCTGTTAACTTTCTAATCAGCAGATCCTGTGAATAGTTTCATTCAGTTTCTTTTTACCTTTTTAGGAAACGTACTCCCAAACTAAGCCCAAGATGCAAAATTTGGTTCAATGGGGGTTAGGTAAGTTGATTTTAAATTAGGCATAATCAGCTACTTCATTAACATTGAACTCTTTAATCGGAGTTCCATGAATGAGCTCCAAGAAATCTGTGGATTCCTTAAAAGTATATGCAGAATTTCAGAGCTATGTGGATTTTTCTGGGAAGAGGAACTATTGTTTTCATCAGATTTCAGGCAACTAGTGTCCCCAAATAGTCAGGTAAGTCTCTTCCAGATCGTTAGGATTCTTGGGCTAGCAAGTACAGATACACTGCTTAAAAAAAAAAAAAAGAATCTCATTTCCAGGTGCAGTGTAATACACCATACTAATTCATCAATAGATTTTCTGAATCGGAATAGTTCATTTGCATTGCAATTACATGCTCTAGAAGTTTTGAAGCAGGAAGGAGCTGAGCTGGTACTCCTGTGAAAGGTCTTATTGCATAATTGATAGTGTTCTTACATTTTTTTTTTCATTTGGTTTTATTTTCCTTGATTGTTTTTCAGTTGTGGGCCACTTATCACATATACTCACAAACTGGATTCACAGTCCATGTTCTGACTAATGTTCATCAGAGACTGGTGAATTAGTAAAGCTGCCAATCGTATTTCATTCCCCTTATTCGGTATCTCGGAAACAAAATCTTGTTTTTACAAGGGTTTGTTTCCATGATAGAACAAAATAAACATGAATACAGTTTATTTCTTTGCTAAGATCATCATAGTGTATTGATGTCCTGATATTTCTGAGACTGTCAGATAAATTTATCATTAGAAGACAGACATAGTAATAGCTGCCTACTGGTTCTTTTTTTTTTTTTTTTTGAGACAAAATCTCACTGTCACTCAGGCTGGAGTGCAGTGACACAATCTCAGCTCACTAATACCTTTGTCTCTCAGGTTCAAGCAATTCTCCCACCTCAGCTTCCCGAGTAGCTGGGATTACAAGCGTGCGCCCCATGTCCAGCTAATTTTTGTATTTTTAGTAGAGACAGGGTTTCACCTTGTTAGCCGGGCTGGTCTCAAATTCCTGACCTCAAGTGATCTGCCCACCTTGGCCCAAAGTATTGGGATTATGGGTGTGAGCCACTGTACCCGGCCCCCTACTGGTTCTTTAAATTATTAAGGCATGTTAATAAGTAACATCTTAATTTTATTAATTTCATAAACACTTATTTAAGACTTATATGTCAGGTACTATTCTAAGTGCTTTAAAAATTCCAGTTCATTGGGGGAGGAGTAAGGATGGTTAATGAGTACAAAAATATAGTTAGAATGAATAATACTTAGTATTTGATAGCACAGTAGGGTGACTGCAGTCAACAAGACTTTATTGTACATTTTATTTTTTATTATTTTATTATTTTTTATTTCTATGAGACAGATTCTCACTCTGTTGCCCAGGCTGGAGTGCAGTGGCACTGTCTTGGCTCACTGCAACCTCCACCTCCCAGGTTCAAGCAATTCTGTCTCAGCCTCCCGAATAGCTAGCACTACAGGCGCACACCACCACGCCCAGCCTATTTTTTGTATTTTTAGTAGAGACGGGTTTCACCATATTGGTCAGGCTGGTATTGAACTCCTGACCTCAGGCGATCCACCCACCTCGGCCTCCCAAAGTGCTGGGATTACAGGTGTGAGCCGCCGTGCCTGGCTTATTGTACATTTTATTTAACTAAAAAAGCTATACTCTTTTAGTTATTGTAAATAAACTAAAAGAGTAGAATTGGGATGCTTGTAACACGAAGAAAAATGATAAATACTTGAGGTAAAGGATACCTCATTTACCCTGATGTGATTATTATGCATTGTATGGCTGAACCAAAATACCTCCTTTACTCTGTAAATATATATACCTACTATGTACCCACAAAAATTTTAAATATATATATATATTAATTTAATCCTCATAACAACCTGACAGATACCTTATTATCTTCATTTTTATCTGAGGAAACTAGAGAACTCCTGATATAGTCTTTTATCTGTACGTGTGTGGCTGAGAGGTCTCTTGTTTAAATTTTTCTGAGACAGGATCTTACTCTGTCATCTAGGCTGGAATACAGTGACGTGATCATAGCTCACTGCAGCCTCGACTTCCTGGGCTCAAGCAATCCTCCCAGCTCATCCTCCCAAATAACTAGGATTACAGGCATGTGCCATCACACCCAGCTAATTTTTTCCATTTTTTTGTAGAGACAGGGTCTCACTTTGTTGCCCAGACTCTGTGCAGTCTTAAAACATATCTTCTTTCCCCTTTCTTTGTGATTTACCCACTTTGGCCCAGCTCACCGCAGCCATCTGGGTGTCCCTCTGTCAACTGCTCTGTGTACACATCTAGAATTGAGCAACACTGGGCTAGTAGGCAAAAATAAAGGGAAGTAAAAAATTGCCTCAAATGACCCAGACTAGAGGATGGAAAGTAAAAACTAGGCTAAAGGCAAAATAAGTAACAGGCCAGACAGTAATTAATGCAAACATAATACAAGTCCTATAGTCGTATTTAAAATGATCACATTTCCCAAAGAACCCAGGAAAAGGAAAACTGGCATGTGTCTGGTATTACTTAGGGGACAGAATTACTGAATTTTCCAGTTTATTACTTCAGTTCTGCATATATTTTCTAAGTCACCATTCTGCCAGACCTTGAAAATTGAGATTGGTTAAGACAGTGGTCACAACCACTGAGATGCATGTAACACATTATTCAGTACTAGTGCAAGTACAGAGATAATCACAGACCGTTATTGAAGGTTCAGAGGAAGGAAATTAGTTTAATCGAAATTGAGGAGGTGGGAGCAGTCAGGGAAGGATTTCTGAAGTGAATCTTGAAGGAACAGTGTTAGCCACACCAAAAGGTGGGGATGGGACTGCTGGAAGCAGGCATTGCGCACTGGTCACAGCATGATCAGGCTTAGAGGTGTGAGTTGGTATTGGATGTTTGAGGAACCCTAAGCAGATAGGGAGTGCTGAAGATGAGATTGAGAAGGAGACAAGGGCTTTGTTTAAGTCATGACCTAGCTAAAAATCATTTGTTAATTCATCCAGTATTTATCAACTCCTGGCAGTGTGATTTTTTTTTTTTTTTTTTT